CTCACCCCTCAGCCCCGTCCCTCACCTCCCCCCTACCCCCTTGTCTAAGCTTTGGGAGTACCGAAATATCGATCCTTTGAAGAACAGTCGCGCAGACGACTGAATCGTCTGGCGCGAAATTCGCAGACGCGGGGTGAGTAGACTTCTGCTGCTTTGACTCTCCCGTCGATCTCTGAGCGTCGTGGTGAGCAACGAGCCATTTGCCCCTCCATTGTCAATCCACCTTACCCACACGCTAACATTGGACCGGATATTTCAACTTCAGCGAGGACGTCGTCCATTCGTTCTTTCATTCGCTCGTTCTTTATTATTTTATTCAAAGGGGCCGAGCGGAACGTAGCGCACACATCGCGTGCTATGACTTCCTGCAGGGAAAACCTCCTTAAAAATCCCATTCTAAATAAGGGAAAATCGCACGTTAGCTAATATACTTGAAACGGTTCTTTTTGGTGGGTAAAGATTAGGAATTTCACCCAATTCTTACTTTCACTACTGTAAAATTATATTCTCAATAAAAATTTTCACGAAACTGTTTAGAACGATAGTTTTTTTTTTTTACTTTTTAAAAATTGGTGACTAGATACACCCTCCGTTTCTTATCTTTTTGTCCCAGGAATTGAACCCAAACTTCAGACGCCGGAAACACCCCTTTACCGTTATTAAACTGCTGACAAAGACTCAATTAAAAAAACCCAAGAGAATTAAAAACAAACAAAACCTACAAACATGGAGTAGAAAGTGATGTAAGACCCCACAACGTAAAAAAAAAAGCTTTGAAGAATACAACCGAAACATAAATCGAAACAGAAAGAAAAGAGAAATTGATTGTATATGCAAAGGTCCCACACTACACGTGTAGACCAACATATTTGAGTACTTCGACAATGAGTGCCTTCTTCCCACGATTACGCTTGATGTTCAAGCCGCGTCGCCTCTGGTCTCAGCTATGGGGACTACAAGGGATGTATCTGTGCTTTTTCTTACACTCACAAGCTACAGGGAGTTCCTACCCCAACCATGGACACATTCCCATCGGTAAGTTTTCCATCGATTTATTAATTGCAAATTTTGCTGATACATGAGTGATTTTTTCTTTCTGAATCATTATCGCTGGCTGCAGCATGGAGAAATATCAAATATCACTCATATTGCAATGATTGTAAACGTTTTACTCTCCCAGTGAGACAATTCAGATCAATCCAGGCTGAATAAACGGAGAAATTGAATAAAAACAATTTCATCACGCAGAGATCTCACTCATGTCCTTGTATTACGGCAAAACACCAAACCAATACACCACAGTAACCGTTATTACAGAAATGTATTCCCGTGCTTATGAAACACGGTTTTATCACAGTATGTTCGACATGCCATTCAAAGCTGTTAGTGCACCTCTGTTGCACGCAGGAGATCTGAGTTTGATTTCCAGAAGGGATAATTAATTGTATCTAGAATCTCGGTTTTTCTACTGGTATTGGTCTGTTGCATCCCTCTCATTCTAGGTTGGCCTGACCATTAAGGTCTACACCTGTCTCCTGAGTATTCTAAATTGTGTCAACTGGGG